TAGCTTCATTTGCTAGATTTCTGCTTTGCGATGGAGCTATGGAAGCAGAGGAATCCTGCCATAAATAAAAAATGGGCTTCGGGTCTTACTCATGTGAGGTTAAATACATATAGATGTACATACAAACATTCCTTCCTTACAGACCCTGTAAGTTATAGTTACTGAGAGGAGGGCAGTGTTAACTGTACAACACTGGACGGAGCTTGTTTGTAGATGCTCCATTGTTTGCATAAATGCTAAAATAATTAAAGTTAGTTATCCAGGATTTATTGTGTTTTTAATTAAAACCCAGCATGAAGGACTCTAAACTACAGAGAAAGGAAGTCTGAGTCTTCAACTGCCCTTTAAAATAAAGCTGCCCCTGATCCTAAAAGTAGTGTCCATATGCACTGGAAATAGAGATGGGGGGATGATCTCATTGGGGTCATTGCTTTAATTAAAAGTTACACTTAAGATGCTGCAACTAACTTATTTAATGTCACTTACAGTTAGACCTGAATATATCACATATCGTTAGAAGAATTTGCAGTGGTAGTTTGCTGCCTTATCAGACCAGAGAAGTTTAAGTACACTGAACTAAAACTTAAGTTTCACACTGGCTTATTCTGAATTGTAATTCACAGCTAATATTGTAACTGAAGTGTTTCCTTAATTTAGAAATAAAAAGAGAATGTGATGAACTTCTCAATTACTTCAGGCACTACCTAAATTCTGTATAAAGTCACACTATGTAAGTACAATATCTGCATGGTAAGTGTACTGGAAAACATGAAAGCTTACATATATTTTTGTGTTAATTTGGTCCTATTAAAGGTATCTCCCATTTTACATTAGAATTTTACTTAGAATTTTACATAGAATTTGGGAGCATGTTACAATTTCAGAAAACACCAAAACTGATACAGTATGCAACTGATTTCATCTTAGAATAAAACTTGTTAGTATATCAAGGAGGCAGCAAAGACTGGAAAAGAACACAGTTATTTAGGAGTCATTGTCCTGGATTCATAACACTTCTTCTAGAGAAAAATCATATGCAAACACTGCTTGACTATCATACAAACATTCAGAGCCTATGAGGTTAAGTTATTCAATTTGAATCTTGCCATTCAGGTAACAATCTGAGGCAATTAAAAGTTCAAATGTTGCATGGAGGAAGTACATGAACAATTCTGCTCATGTTATTCCTTAAAAGGTTTCAAGGAACTTTTCCAAAAACAATCTGCCAGTGCCAGAGTTTTTAAATAAAAAGCAGTAAAAATCATTAATATTTTCCATTTGCCCAGCAATGGGAAATTGAACACAGGATAAAATATTTATAATTTTTGATTGACATAGATATTCTATGCCTTTTGATAATTTGAAGACTGGAAAATGTACTGCTTATCATGCAACTGTATCAAAGGCACAGGAATAGACTCAGGCGTACAAGTTGTATATTTGGTAGGTAGCTGCAATTTAGTTGTTATTGAACTAATAAATGAAGTCTGGGCTGTACAATGTCCAGCTCCAAATCATGTCTTATATGGCTGGTGGAAAATTAGCATATAAAAAACTCAGCCTTAACACTGACATTGTAGTTTTCTGCACAGAAATAATTGTTGAAATGCCCATTTTAAAAATAAAACATGAGATTCCCCTCTCCCTGCAGCCTGGAGTCATCCTCGGCGTATATTTACATTTAGTCAGGACCTACTAGCTCTGAATAAAGTCTATTCCGGATCTTTAAATTGTCCCCTGGAGACAAAATAACAGTTAATATGATTATTCTCCAGACAGAGAATAATCTGCTGCACCCAAGGCCACGCCTGCTCTGCAGCCTCCGCCCGTGCATCTGCTCTGGAGCAGAGGGGTCAAAAGCGCGGCCTGCGGGCTGCGTGCGACCCACCACGCTCCCAAGTGCGGCCCGAACCCGACTGAAACGCCACTGAGTAAGATGTAAGAAAAAATAAAAATACAACGAAACATAGATATTGTTACATTTTAAAACAAAACAATAATAAATTTTCACCAATCACCAAAACTCAGGGCTCGCAACTCACGAGGAGTCTCGGCTTAATTCCAGGAGCAAAGGGAGCTGCCCCAGCGCGAGCTGAGCAGGGGCGCCACGTGCCAGGAGCTCCCTCTGCGTCTGCTCTGCACAGCCTCGAGCGCCCGGGGCTGCCGCGAGGAAGCCGAGGCAGCGGGCTGGTGCTTTCCCCCAGACAGCAGGCGGCCAGCCTTGCGCTGGTAGCCGACCTGCTCCAGGCCCCGGAGCCTCCGGTGCACAAAGGCGCACCTCTCTCTAAAGCAGGTTGCACTCGTTTCCCTTCTCCCTCCAAAAGAGGTTTCATTAATGTCTGTTGAGTTTCAGGATGCACAAGGTTCACGATAATTATTAACTTTATAAAAAATTCAATTTTTAAATGTGAAGTTTAAATAAGTTCAGAATGCATCCAGAGACGAAGGGAAGAATGGGGGAAAAATGAAAGAGAGGGGGCAATTCAAATGTTTATTTAATTACAGAATCAAATTCCAAGGAAAGAAAGAATGGATTGCAGTTATCAATGACTAGTGAGTTTATATTATAATCTGTAAGTCTATATGTGGAGCCAATTTAGTTGTAATAGTGTGAGAGATGGTTAAAATATGTTATTATTGACAAAGAAATAGTAGCTTGAGCATGCTAAGAGTGCAGTTGTGTG